AAGGGACTGACAACTCCAGTAGTAAATTTAAAATTAACTATATTTTTTTAGTAGACAGTTTTGTACTATATTTTCAAATTGTACTGGACCAGTATACTATGCTGAGCCAATGCAGTGGGAAAAAGTGTTTCTTATAGTAATAATAGTAATAAAAATAATATTATTATTTATTTTCTCACCACAATATAAGAAGTACATTAAGCAAGCGCCTAGACTAGACGTAAGGTCAAAAAAATATTTTGAATTTTCTTAAGAACTTTTTTTTCAAACATATAACGCACACACACATAGCCCCTCACCCAGAATCGTGGGAGCCATGGACACACACATAGACAACCAAAAATTACACCTTACAAAACTTATATACTGCATACAAATATTTTTCTCGGCCCGGGAATTTAGACCAACTTGATAACCGTTCGGCCACGGAGACAGTCTCTAACTAAGGGAGGTGTAATAAAAGTTAGGGTCCTTGATGAGGGCCAGTTATACATAAGTTAATAAGAGCGGCGTCCTAAATAGGGGCCCTTGAAATCGTGTAGTGTAATAAGCGTCAAATGTTAAAATATCATCTACAAAATGTAATCACAAAAAAATAGATTAAACATAACCACCATATAATTATGACACTTTTGAAGTTTAAAAAGAGTTACTGTATATACAATGAAGAAGTAAATTGAGCTTCAAGTACTCTGAAAGTCAGTTATACAGAGCTTTTGAAAAGGCTTTCGGGCCATTGACAGTTTCCTCGCTTAGTTTGCTTGTCTCAGTCTAAGATAAATGAGTTCAGTTTTATAGACAAGACGAGATTGTTTCCTTTAAGTTTTCCAATAGATTGTTTGTGTGATAAATTTTGCATTTAAAGTCTGCATTTTATGGTCATATTGTTTTATTAGCTTTATGAATTCAAAGTTTCTCTTCAATCGTACTTTTTACTCCACCAAGACTTACTTAATAGTTAATACGTAACAGATACAACAATCTAATATAAAATCGAAAATACCTACGCTATAACAGCCTACTAAATCTGACTAATGACGTCTGGCGATCACGACGAGGAAAAAGGGACCTAAACACGCGCTCAGAGTGGTGAAAACTACTATACAAAACAAATTGATTTGATTATTATTATTGAAACAAAGATCGACCAAACGCAGCCAAGAACCACAGTCTGTTGCCTCATCGTAGTTATTGGTAGCCATCGTGATAGTAGCCACGGTGAAAAAACAGATACGAGTTGATCACTCCACTTCAATTAGGGGACATATTTTCATAAAATATAGGTAGTAAAAACACCACGAAATTTAATAAAAAATAAACAAAGATTTGATTTTCATCATCAAATGCTGTACGGTCAACCCTTAAATGTAGTGCAGTGTGTAGTAACGTACATAACGTAACGTACACACTCAACATAGTCTGAAAGCAGAGGAAAATTATTACTGTAGTGTATACTAATGTAGTTGTGTGTGTTGTCCACAGCGTGAGGGAGCAGCGCGCAGCGATGCGGAGCGCGAACGGCGCGCGCGCAGCGACTGGGAAGCGCGGGCGCGCGCCGCAGAAGCCGATGCCGCGCGACTCGCCGGCAAGCTGCATGCTGCGCAGCGCGAGATCGCCAGGTCAGTAAGCTTCCTATTCATTAGCTGCTTTATTGTCCATAATACAACATACTTTCCTATGATATGTTGAACTCGCATAAGGAACAGTGATTTTGGGCGAAAATAAAACAAGATAAGCACATACACGGCGACAAAAGTAAAAAAAACGTAGCGACAAAAGTAAAAAAAATTGTCTCTGTTTCTGTCTGTCTCTGTTTACTACCACTCGCTACTCAATTGTCGCGTATGTATACATCTCATGTCCCTTCTACATAAATAAATGTTCATTAGTTTTTCTGCCTAGAATGTAATTGAAGCGCGGAATGCAAAACCGAAAACCAAAACAGAATTTTTAGTAAATCCATCGACACTGTCAAACAGCACAAACAATAAAACAGAAAAAAGTGTCAACCAAATTGACAAAGTAACAAATAACGAGATTGCGGCGAGTAACGTTATTAATAAAACATTAACAGGCTGTCCAATTTAAAACATTGCCTTTTGCAAACAAATATGGCGATATCGGCACAACTCGAATTGAAAATCGAAATGAATATTAGGTTCGTTAACTGCAAGCGTTAATGGCGTCAGTTTCCAAGCTGTGTTGTCTACCTACACAGCTTAGTTGTTACTGTTACAAAATATCTTCGTACGGTCAACAACACATCAAGTTATACATTTTTGTTCGAATATCGCCTCCAATGTAACGGAACAAGATCCGTCAATATGTAGCTTGATGGTTGCCGTCGTACCAAAGTAACAGTTCTAGTATCCAGTATAATAGTCGATAATATTGTTCTTTAAGTATATTTTCAACTTATTGACAGAACGCGTTAGTACCAATGAGTTCAATTTAGAACTTCAAGTTATTGGCAGACGTGCCATTCTCTGTACCCTACCTACAATAGATTATACATTACTTAAATTTGTCTTAATTCCAGCCTTTTCGATAAACATTCGATATTAATTTAGCGATTGTTAAATTTTGTCATTAGATGAAGAAGAATTGAAGCCGAAATTACTACTACTACTTTTTTATAGATAATTATGATTCTTCACTTTTATACGACTCTATAAAGGATTGTTATTCTTCAGAAAAATTCACGTCGAAGTTCTCGCAATTGCCTACTACTGTTGTACTAGTGTTGTAAGCATTCAGTGATTTCATTTTGTCACCTTAATTCCTATTCGCCTTTTCCCATTCCGTTCATGGCAACACTTGCGTAAATCACTGAACCCATTGCGATTTCAGAATTTATATCAATTTCGAATCGATAACGGACGGTTATAGCTCGATTCAATTTAATGAACCGTTAAAATCGCGAACTACTGTACAATGGGTTTAACAACCCTGTAATGATATTAAGCAATTTGTTCTGCGCTGTCGGGTTTTCAAGTGCTAAGGGTTGCATATAAATTATTTTTACTGCCTATTATTCATTTCTTATTATGATGTTTCTTATACTTGGAGCTTTTGTTAATTCTTGGCAAAACATGATTTTATTGATGTTGGAGATTACTGATTTTGAAATTGATGTTTTGTTTAAGTGTGTACGAATTTTTAACGAATTGTAAAGTGTCATGCAGGTTCGATGTTCGCAAACGTTATAACGTCTGGGCGTTGGCAGTGTTGGCCCATTTCTAATTTCAAAATTAATAACGTTCAATCTTCGAAATTAAAAGCGGTAACGGTGATCCGTCGTGCGATATCGCAACAGTTCGGTAATTAACGAAGTTGAGTTCGGAATTCGAATACGGAGAGTAATCGGGGCGGTGTCATTGGATGGCGATAAGCGTTCACCCGATTGGTCGATGGCCCGTAACTTTGTTCGAAATACGAACTTTGGGATTTACGGCACTGAGACCGTTATGGAATTGACCCAATTTGCTCGGGTTGAATTGAAATTGAATTTTTTCGCTACTGGCTACTTATATAGGATATATGTTTCGTTGTTATTACTGGAGCTTCCATCACATATACAAAATCCGCTAAAATTTTATGACGAATTTTCGTTGTTTTTGAATATTTCTTTCTGGTTTTTCATCTTATTGATGCTGGTTGGAATAATGCGAGCGTTTAGCCGTTGAACCGTGAACTTCCAAATGGATTCAGTGTCAATCACGTTGTGAGAATTTGCGCATCTGGCGTGGGTTGAATTTATGAAGTATAGGCGTACAAATTTAAGTTTGCTGTCTAACGTGGCGCTGACACTGTTAGCATTATGCCTTGTTTGTTTAATAACTCCATTTTTCATTCTTATTTTCTAAGTAATTTTATTTGACGTACGGTAAAAAAAGAAAATACAAATTGATATTTTAAAAAACGTGCCAAGTAGTAGGTACTACAAACCTTAAAGCACCAAACCCTCAATGATATTCTACCTTCGTTATGGTAACGCACACAAACACATTACCAATGCAACAGACAACTAAGCAAAAACGTCAATTAAAAATACTCCAAAACAATATAATACATAAGGCACAAAATTAAATAAGAAAGGAGTGTCAAGAAGGTTGATTAACTGGCCATACCCAATAACTATTACTTATAGAGAAGTACAAGGGAATAGAAAAAGAACAATTCGCACTCTTGATTTAATAAGGCCACATCTGCAATATGACAACTTTTGAGGAGAGAGACTTAAGAGTTACAAGCTCAAATGGCTTTGGTTGATTCCGCATAACAGTGAAAGTGTTGAATTACTTTAGAAAAAATGTGTTGTAAAATTGAGGCTACACACGGTGTTGGAGGCAACACAAACTTACCTCGAAATTTTACAAGGAAACCGCTGAATTCAATAGGCTTTACATATACCTATGTTTTTTTATACAACTGAACTAAATAGAACACGAATACTATACGATGTACAATTTTCAAACGTCTTTAATTTCGTTTGTAAAAAAAATTCGGTAATAAAGCCAGTGTCCCTGTCGTTCGACCCAAGCAAAATTAACCGTATTAGTACGGGTGAAAATTGAATTCGAAATTGAATCCACTATTAAAGATTCTATGAACAATATTAGTCGATAGCTTTTTTATACTGAAATAATTTGTTTCATGAAGTTCGTATAATTTTCATAATTCTCTTGTGTTAAAATAATTGTTCACAATGATCACATATAACTTTACTATCCCGGGGTACGAAATGAAGGATGTAGGATATGAAATGTAAATACCTAAAGATAAGAATAAAAGAAATAGAAACTTTTTAATTCAAGGTTGAACGTTTCGTGCCCAGGTTGCTGGCAAAATTGCTGTTTTGGATGGCTAAGTTTATTATTTTGTGGAAGTAAAAATCTGAGGAACACTGCTACTGCGCCTATCACCTTGAGACATAAGTTGACAACTCCCATGTGCCTGTAATTTCACCAGCACTCTTACCCTTCAAAACTGGAACACAGTGATGCTCACATAACTTCTTGACGGCAGAAATAGGCAAGGTGGGAGTACTTCCCTGGTCGAACTCTTTCACAGGGGAGTTCTGTTGCTATTAAAACTTAGAACGTCTCAATTTAGAAGCAAATGTACTCTATCTTGACTCCTTTAGTTCTGAAATTTGCCATCTACCCAAAAAAGTTGGTAATACACAATTGGAGGGTCGGATAAATGTGGAGAAACAAATTCAATTCGTCAAAGCGTTGTGGGCGAGATAAGCAGATTATTGCGGTCTAAAAAATACTGATACTGTTTAGGTGCGTTTTGTTTTGACAGGTTGTTTTTGCAATGCTAGGAACTGAAAGGTCTTTTTGGGGGAATTAGTCGTGTCTTGTAAACATTATCTACTCCAAAATTACCTTAATGATATTACATCGCGCCGTTAATAATAAAGAGAAACTGAAAAGAGAGCTTTCAAAAATATCACGTAAAATATCTACTTACTTACTAAAATAATTTCCTTTTTTATAAAAAGGAAACCGACCTCAAATGTTCGTGGAATTACGTCTATTTGCCAAGTTGTATTGAAATCGGTTACCGGAATATGCGCGAAACCGGATTCATTCCGTAGTTTTGCCACCTTTAGAGGTGGAATATTTTCCTTAAATTTAAATGGGACCGATAACGAGGTAGGTACCTTCTATCCAACTAAAAGAGAATCTTCAAAATCGGTTCACAAATGCGTAACATACAAAAAATATACAGTCCAATTGAGAACCTCCTTTTTAAAAAAGTCGGTTTAAAATGCGCGGCATTGAGCAATATTATTTTGTGAACATGTAATAACGCGTTTTTTTCATATAATACCAAGTGACGGGACGAACAAGTCGTGCGCCTGGTGGTAAGCGACACGCCTATCTATAACAGTTGCAGTGCCATTCAGAGCTTTAAATCGCAAAGACCTTAGGGGCACTGTCACTGCACCCGTCACTCTGAGACATTAGTTGAGAAGTTTCTCTACATAACAGGAATGCTGTAATTCTCTCTCAGAAATAGGTAAGGTGACAGCACTTACCTGGACGAACTCTTTCAGAAGAAGCATGTACGGTCTACGACCGAAAAAGCGCTCAGTTTACTGACTTCACCCTTTACCTTTACCCCATATTGTTGTAACTTCTTAAATTAAATCATATCACGATTAGCCATCGTGCATTGTACTCATTTCAATCATCAATCTATAAAAACGTACCATTATCAGTAATCAAACAAATAAATCTACTTATCAATTATCAAACTATCATTTTATAAGATTACGGATACACCGTACACTTTTTTTGGTCCTTCGAGCCGGATTTGATGGTTCAAATCCGGCTCGAAGGACCAAAAAGGTGCGACACTTGAATACATCGTACAAAGCTCAAGTACTACTATAGCGTATTAAACGACCAGAAAAACATTAACGTTATTCAACAAATGTCATTTCCAGGTCTAAATCAGTATCTCCTTTATAAACCACAAACTTTTCGATCCCGAAAAGCATACGCAATGCCCATAAACCAAAAACCCCTTTCAAATTCGCCTTATCTGGCCATTGGGAGTCAGATCACGTGCCGTGCGGTAGGCCCGGGTTCGATTCCCGCCCGTG